ACCGACAAAAGCAACAAAAAACCGGACGAAACAGTAAAATCGTCACATTACCATACATAAACGGAACATCAGAAATGACTGCCAGACTTCTTCGACCATTTAATATTAACGTCGCCCACAAACCTACACAAAAACTCAAATCATGTTTCACCAAACATAAAGACAAAACAACAATTCATGATACAACTGACGCGATCTACATGATACCATGTAAAGACTGTTCAAAGCAATACATAGGACAAACATCTAAGAAAATTGAAACAAGACTCACAGAACACAAAAACGCTATAAAACGACGAGATCCGAACTCACTGCCGGCAGAACATACCCACGGAAACAGCCACACATTCGACTGAACAGAAACTAAAGTACTCGGACGCGCACAGACTAAACACGTACGCGAATTTAAAGAAGCTTGGTACAGTGAAGACAACGACACAATAAACAGACATATCGACATACCCATCATATACTCACAACTAAAGAAAAAGGACAAAAAATCTACAAACAACACCAGAACTAAAACACTACACTCTAATATTATTAACACCACCAATCATATTAACAATACACCAAAACCCATGGCAACGCATTTCACCCCATCCAATCACATTAATCCACCCTCTCATCCAATTAGACGCTCTAAACGTCTCCAAGCTAAAAGCACGTGTAAATAAATATTTTTCATTCTGATGAAGGCTCGAAGCAACGAGTCGAAAGCTCAATAAAAATCATTCAAAATCCGGAGAAACTTTTGTCTTTTATATATATATATATCGCTAGGATAGAGTGCTCAATGCCACGGCAGAGTAGTATAATTGAAAATAAAATAAACCACGAATTACTTCATCGAAATTTATTCCCTACAGAACTGTTTCGTATGGCAGTTGTTTAATTTGCCACACTCGTCAGGAGATTCTCCTGAGTGTGGCAAGTTAAACAACTGCCATACGAAATGGTCGTCTACCAAGCTACTGTGAAACAAACTGTCATACGAAATAGTCGTCTACCAAGCTACTGTGAAACGCAAGGACAATAACACAACTGAGACGTACATTGGACTTACAGAAAACGAATTTAAGATTAGACATAGAAATTACACTGCCTCTTTCTGCCACAAAAAACTACGAAACTAAGCACATTTGGACCCTTAAAGACATCAACATTGACCACGACATCTCATGGAACATCACCAGCAAACCATACAACAGCATTAGTAAAAGATGCAACCTTTGCCTCAAAGAAAAATTCTTCATCCTCTACCAACCATCCAAATCATCCCTCAATAAACGCAACGAACTTGTTTCCTCTTGTCGCCATAGATCCAAAACACTCCTATGTAATTTGTAACTATACAGCTTAATTAATACGCTAACTTCCGTCATCTAACTTGTAACGAAAACCTTGATAAATACACTAACTTCCGTCATCTTGTATATATATTTTAAGCATTTAAGTATTTTATTCATTAAATCCTCTGAAGAATGAGCAATCACAAAACAGGCTTGTCGGGATGAATCTGTAGTTTTGTGATTTTTTCTCAACACAACTTCACATATTTACGCTCTGCTCTCGGGCATCGAGCACTGTTTCATACGGAGAATCATCAAATATAAACTTCCTATATATATATATATATTTTAATATTATCCCCTGAAGAGTGAGAAATCACGAAACAGGCTTGTCGGGATGAAATTGTAGTTTTTGTGTGTTTTCTTCTTCTTATGAATATATATACAAAGTGTATATACAATGTGCTCTCCCGGCTATCACTATATTAAAATGGTGACTCCTGCACTTGGGACACAGGACGTACGGTTTATACATATATATATAATGTATACAACAACGGATTGTGTATCACTATCGAAGCTAACAAAAAAGTCATTAACTTCCTCGACATCACGTTCAATCTAAAGAATTCTTCCCATCGACCTTACACTAAGCCCAAAACCTCTTTGCAATACATCCACCACGAAAGCAACCATCCTCCAAGCATTACAAAGAACATACCCGATACCATTAACAAACGCCTTTCATCCTTATCATCCGACGGAGCATCATTCGACCAAGCAATTCCTCCATACCAAAGAGCACTTGACGAAAATGGATATCATTACACACTGAAATATGACCCGAACGCTACTACGAAACGGAAAAACAGACTTAGAAATAACATACTCTGGTACAACCCACCATACAGCAAGAACGTCAGCACAAACATCGGCTACAAATTTATTTCACTAATTGACAAGCACTTTCCCATAGACCACAAACTCAGAAAACTATTCAACCGCAACACAATTAAATTAAGTTACAGCTGCATGAACAATATGCAACATATTATTAATAACCATAACAAACGCATATTGAGAGGACCTGACAATACTAATGACACCATCAATGACAAAAATATACAAACTAAAACATGCAACTGCCGACAAAAACAAAACTGCCCACTTAACGGAAACTGCCTACAATCATCTGTCATCTACCAAGCAACTGTTAAACGTTTGGACACCAACACAACTGAGACCTACATCGGACTTACAGAAAACGAATTTAAGACTCGACATAGGAACCACACTGCCTCAGCAAACACATGTGGACACTAAAAGACAACAACATCGCTCACGATATCTCATGGAACATCATCACTCACAGCAAACCGTACACCAGCGCCAACAAAAGATGCAACCTATGCCTGAAAGAAAAATTCTTTATCACCTACCAACCACAACTATCATCACTCAACAAACGTGACGAACTTATCTCCTCTTGTCGCCATAGACACAAGACACTTTTATCCAATTTGTAACCATACACTCAACATATTATGTAATTCTATCTTAATTTTTTACCCTAACTTCCTTTGTATATATAATCTAGCACATGCTTTTGTATTCATTTAATATTATCCCCTGAAGAGTGAGAAATCACGAAACAGGCTTGTCGGGATGAAATTGTAGTTTTTGTCTATTTTCTTCTTATTATCATATATATATATATATATATATATATATTGATAAGAAGAAGTAAAGACCACACCATTATAAAACACGCAAGAAAATCACTTCTTTTCCACCAAAACAAAACATGGACCAAACGCAACGCTATCAACAGGTTTTATGTAACCATGGGCAGCTATGATGGAGGGGAAATTTGCGAGCTTGTAGGGCTATTTTTACTCGACCAACTACAGCACCGGTACGGGAACAACGTCGGCTCATACCGTGACGATGGCCTTGCAGTAAGTTATTTATATATATTAACGTCGCCCACAAACCTACACAAAAACTCAAATCATGTTTCGCCAAACATAAAGACAAAACAACAATTCATGATACAACTGACGCGATCTACATGATACCATGTAAAGACTGTTCAAAGCAATACATAGGACAAACATCTAAGAAAATTGAAACAAGACTCACAGAACACAAAAACGCCATAAAACGACGAGATCCGAACTCACTACCGGCAGAACATACCAACGGAAACAACCACACATTCGACTGGACAGAAACTAAAGTACTCGGACGCGCACAGACTAAAAACGCAAGCGAATTTAAAGAAGCTTGGTACAGTAAAGACAACGACACAATAAACAGACATATCGACATACCCATCATATACTCACAACTAAAGAAAAAGGACAAAAAAACTACAAACAACACCAAAATTAAAACACTACACTCTAATATTATTAACACCAATCATATTAACATCAATCATATAAACAATACACCAAAACCCATGGCAACGCATTTCACCCCATCCAATCACATTAATCCACCCACTAAACCAATTAGACGCTCTAAACGTCTCCAAGCTAAGAGCACGTGTAAATAAATATCCTCATTCTGATGAAGGCTCGAAGCAGCGAGTCGAAAGCTCAATAAAAATCACTTAAAATCCGGAGAAACTTTTATCTTTTATGTATATATATATATATATGTATTGAAAAATAAAAGTTTATAACTGATTTTTATTGAGTTTCCGACTCAGTGCTTCGAGCTTTCTTCAGAGTAGGAAGTTGCAAGTTATTTACGATGTTTTTAGCTTGTATAAAGCCAGATAAAGGGGAGGCATGAAGATGTTTGTAGATAGCGGAGTTTTTGTCTGTGTGAGTGTGTTCCTTTATGCTGGTGGTCGTTGGCGAGAAGTTTCACCAATATAACGGAAATTTACATCCGCACATGACAATTGATAATCATCCATAGATTTATATGTTTCAGAAAATGGACCTTTAAATGAAAAGAGAGATTTTATCATTGAAATTGTCAAAATAAGTTTGATCATAATGTCAGTACAGTTGCGTTTAATGATTTTTGTTAGTCAGACATATGTGAGTTTAATGATCTGTGTGAGTTTTGCGTTGAGTGTGCCGTGAGTAATCACCTATGTATAGGGTGTTTTACAAATAACGTTTATTATCATGCATGGACGTAGGAAGAAGGGTGGGGGCATAAAGTTAAGGAGCATTTACCTGGTGAAAAGGTATTTGATTTTGAGACGTATTTTTATGCTGTTGAAAATACCATGCTAATGACATATAGCAACTGCATCATAGCTCTTTATCGTTAAAAATTTGACCTTAATCTGCGTTAACTTTCTTTACATGATCTTCTGCAAATGTCTTATTGCACAAATCGAATCTGTTATTTGCTTGTTGATCTCCATAAAAATATTATTGTACTTTTCTGTGACGGACATGATGATTATAAGGAATCAAATGCAGTGTTTTACCGGAAAAGCTGTTCCTTTTTTCTTAATCAGTTTTATTTCACTCTGAAGCTAATGCTGATCTCTGAATATTTTCTGCTAACTCAGAGCTAGGTTTATTGACGTTGTGTGATTAAACTCTATGGCAAGGCTTACAAAAAGCCAGGGTGTTATACCTGATGAACACAACTGGCTACACCAAGGACCAAAATCAGGGCTGTAGTACTATCAACAATGGGAGAGAGGAGGCTCATATTCATACATGCACTAAATTGTCCCAGGGAAGTAATCTTTATTTATACATCGTAATTGAAAGGGATTTTGATAACTTTTGGGGTTTTAATTTTTTTGACTTAGCTATGTCATTAATAATTACTTTAAAAAGTGAACTAAATAACAATTTAAAAATTATTTCTTATACACAAACGGCTTGAAGTGCGGTCAGTTATTTACACTGCAGCAGTAAAATTTATATTTACACATAGTACAACCTAACAAAAAAGTAAGATAAGTTTTGTGGACATGTGCTTCATTATGTAAATTTATAATTATATAAAACCTTAGGTCAATGACATACCAATCTACAGTAAGATTTTAGTAAGGCTTCTTTAGTCTATGCAACGATTAATTTGATTTCAGAGGGAGTACATCGGCCACAATGACCCCCACAAGCTCCTGTAAAGATGTTTTTTGTTGAATTCATGTTGGAGTTGTAGATTCTTTTAGCACATTCAGGATACGAATAATGTGTATAAGGTATTGTCTCAGATAAGATGAAGCCTGTTCTTGTTAGGTTTATGCTGAAAGCTCCTAAGCGATTTGCACCACAACTTGGACGTTTGCAGTCACCTGCACTGCCATATGTGTGAAAGACACCATGTATGTTGCTGGTGGCATATTTAAAGTCGTTGAGATCTACACTTAAGTTTTGAAGGTGGACTCGGATCTGAATAAAACAAAGACAGAATTTTCTAATGTTCACGAGTTGCTCATTAATTAAGAAATCGATTTGAAAACATTAATTTCATTATATACCGTTGACAATTTTTTGTTCTCTTAGCTTAATAAATCATTGTCATGAAAATGTTTTCTAAATGCAACATCACCGACACTTTTCTTCAAAATACACAAAATTTTTAACAGTTAGTGAGTAATTTCAAAAAGAAACGCGCAAAAACATAAAACTCAACTTAAATATATCAATTTATCTAAGATATTTCATTAATTAATACTGTGATGGATTGGGAATTGAAGTCATTCGCTATGTAGACCACTTGCTTTCTATTTTATAGCACATTGTATTATTATATATTTATATAATTTATGTTGCATACTTCTAAACAATTTTAATACTCCAAAATTATGTCGATGTGCCCTCTGATGTTTTTCTATGCAAAATTTCGACATGAGTTTATGCTATAACCGAAGAACGTTGATTTGAAATTTGTGAAGTCCACTGCTTCCTATTCGACAGCAAAAAACACATAAAGGTAAATAAAAGTTTTATTACTAACGTGCACTTTAGACATGTAATAAGATTGATTAATTTTCTTATGGTTGCAATAATTGAAAATTTCAACTCTTTGGAAGTATTAACTATCCGGCATTTTTGACAACAATTTGTGTTACAACCAATCAATTTTGTTAAAGTTGTTTGGTACTCTTAAAGTTCTCGTCGCTTAAATCACTCAAACATATTACTACCAATCTACAATGTTTGAATTGACTGCTATAGCAAGTTAAAACGAAGTCGTTTATAGAGACTTTTAGCCATTTACTTTCCATTTGGTAATTCTTCTGTATTCCATACTCTATTTTATGGAAAGTGTTACTTCCGGCAAAATGGCGCCTCTATTGACTCAGAAACATTTTTGCCGGTCCATTATTTTCCCGTAATCGACCATGGTTCAAAACACGTAATTTTACAGTCAAATGTAAACAAACTTTGTTAAAGCAAACAGCAAACGCAAGAAAAAACCGAAGCAAAAAACCATTTGCGAATGTCAGTCGAATGAAAAGCACTCCGAAACAGTTCAATAATCCAGACGATACAATTTGAAACAATTTCTTTTTTACTGACAAAAACTAGAAAAGTGAGAGTCAATCCGTACAAAACAGCAAAGACGAGAAAGAAAACAAGTTTCGTTTCAGGTCAAATAATGCCATATAATAAACCATTTAATAACCTCACTTTCTCGGTCTTTACTGAAAAATATGGGACCGTCTTTTTGTACAAACCTCGCTCTACGGGTTCGGTCTGTACAAAACAACTTCAGTCCGATATTTTTCCGTTAAGACCTCGAGCTCGGTTATTAAGGGGTTAGTAACATTATCAATATATCATCATACTGTAAAATATATTTAATATTTTATCTACAAAAATTTACCTTTGCAAATTTAGTTTCCTCTAACCTATGTCCTTCCATGTGATTGTAATATTTTGCGTAGTTTGTTTCTTTGTTCAGTGTTATATACTCTTTTGGTTTGTCGGTATCCATGTCTGAACAGTAAATTTTGACTGGAGTTTTCAGATTGCTTGTGAGATACAAATTGTATTCACCATTTTCATTGATTCCACTTTCTTGAACTTCTTTACAATTACAGACTACATTTAAAAGGAAATAAAACATGAGATATTTAAAAATTTTACGTACGTTAACTTGTGCTAAACAAGAATATCACTGATCGATGTTTTAAACTTGGGAAGACAACATTTTGTGATAAAACATCTATTTTACTATTTACAATAAAATTATGCATCTTTATAATAATGAAAATAAGGTTTCACTCTTATGACGTTAAATATCGCTAAAATTCAAATTTTGTTTTCACCTACTCATGCCAATATTTGTCTTATTCTTGTTCAATATTCCACTTTCGGCTTTCGGTATTCATAATTTTGAATTAGACATTCAGGCTTTTTAAATATTCAAACCATTATTGCTAACTTTTATTTATTCAACATTCAACTTTTCTTCACACGACATTCAACTTATTTTATTACAAATTCAACTTTCGCGATATCCAACCACATTCCAACAACAAAGTTGCAACGCAGACGCATATACAAGTGACTTTATCTTGATCATAAGTGTTTAGGAGGGTGTTGTCCAAAACACTTCTGGCTGGCAAGAATAGTATAAGCTGTTTAAGCTCTGTATAGACAATCGATTCCGAGTTGGGCTGTCATCATCTATTCCTTCAAGCATTCTGCTAACCTTTTAAATCGGGGTAATATTTGTGTCGTCCATGTCCAATTTAATTGCCATTGTTTTTTTGTCTAATTTCGAGATTACACGAGATTACACATCGCCAACAATCGTATTGTTGGCGATTTTAATTTCAAAAGAAATCAGCAGAGGCAGAGCAGAATATATGAATATTCGTCCTCCTCCCCAATTAGAGTTCCAGTTTTGCCCCGGATCGGATGAGCTCTTTTTACATATATTTACATTTTCAAACACCTTAGAGGCAAGTTCATTATTAAAAGCTGATTTCATTCAGTGCAAATTGTCGCGCGATCGACTTTTTGAGATCACTTCCTTTTCAATTGTAAGCTTTCAACCAGAACAGTTTCACACTGCTCCACGCAATTCAAAAGAAAATGATCGCAAAAAGTCAATCGCGCGACAATTTACTCTAATTGGAAATCAGCCTTAAAACTATATTCTTTACAAATACCAACCATTAATGTTGTTCTAAAGTTATTTTGAATCAAAAATTAAGGAGTTATATAATTAATATTAAAGAATCTGTATCCTTCATTGCATATGAATAGTCCCCAGAATTTCATAAACGTCAATTGCGCATTAACACAATAATAAAGTTATTCATAAAGTTGTCTTCTAAATTGCAATGACAAAGAAAACTCGCTCGTGTATGCGCTTGTTGAAAGTCAAATAGAAAAAGTTGAATGTTGAATAAAAAAAGTTAAATGTCGAGTAAAGAAAAGTTGAATGTTTCAATGCAAATGTAATGTTTCAAAAGTTGAATGTTCCAAAAGTTTGAATGTTTAATTCAAAAACAAGAACGTCAAATGCCAAAATGGGTAATATTAAACACGAATAAGACAAATATCGTAGCAGATTTTGTGTGATTTATGTTATTAAGTACTGAAAACTGAAAGTTATAAAAAGTATAAATTCATGGCAAAGGCTCATTAAAAGTGCTACGCCATCTAAAAAATATAAAAAGTATCTTGTATTATAACCCATCAAACTATTATATACAATCTGTAATAGCCACCTTGATAACTTACAATAAATGAATGTATTCTGCAGTATGTGTGAAATTTAAACATTGAAAATTATAAGTCTCGCTGTAACTTGCTTCAAGTTTGTGATGCTCAAATTGCATTTAAAACATCTCATACATATACTCTTTAGTTTGCAGTAGAATTTGGTGAATATTAAAGTTGCCCCATCAAGTTACACGCTTTCAACAACACTATCAATACGTCGCTTATTAAGTTTTTTACTATGCGTAAATGCTGCTTTGCATTTTATCTCTATTGACGTTTTGTATTTATTTTGCATTTATAATATCCACCAAAAGCTTTATATCCGCAACAAAGTAGATGATGAACAATGATTATCAATAGTATTGGGAAGAGGAATAAAATGCCTTGCATTCATTTGTTGCTTGTCCAGCAATGGAATCGTTTGGTCATAATTTTTCCAATTTTGATAATAAAAAAGGGACTTTGCAAATTCTACATCAGAGCACACGGTAATGAAATGCTGCTAAGGATGATGAAGAAATTTACCGAAAAATACATTGCAGACACTAAGACTTTGACAGGAGAAATGATTTTTCAAAAACTAAATCAATAAAGAGGTTTTCTTTGTTAGTAAGTTGTGATCCTTTTACAAGTTGCTACACTGCTTGTTTCATCGGGCTCAAATAAAGTAACTAATGATCTTCGTTACATTGCTACAATAACCCTACCATCCATGTTCTTGTAACATCCACATTTAAATGCTACATTTTAATTTCATACATTTGATGCTTGACTACAATATTATTGTAGTCATGCATCAAATATATGAATTTAAAATGTCTTCTACAAAATTAGAACAAGTTTATAGTCAAACCTCTCAGGTTTATTGTTTTGCAAGCTGCAGATCAAGTAATTTGATATGTTATCCAATCTATATTTTGCTTTAGATAGATGAAATTCTATTGTTAACTTATCCTAAAATAAAACTGGCATCCATTTTATAAAAAAGAACCCATAAAACTTAAAAAAGGTTTTCTGAAACTTTGTGTGGAGAAAGATTAATTTTATCGTCATAAAACAGTTTGCCGTAAGGTCATTTGAGTAACAAATAATTGGAACTCATTGATGTTTTGCATACAATTTTGATAGAAAGTCGTTTTCTTTAATGCATTTTTGTCGTTCTACTCAATAACTATGCAGTTGGTTGCATTAAAAGAAAAATGGCATCTACAAATATCTTCAATCAGACATTTTTGCATCAGTGGAAGATACATCAGGAAAAAATTTGATAAACCTCTTGGAAAACTATCCAAATGTTAATGAAAGTTTCAATAGTTTAACTGGCGCTGTAGCAAGATCTTAACAAATCGCTCAAAAATTGAAAAAAATGGGAAAAAATTACGAGTTATAAAGAGCTAATAATGTCATTGATATTTGTTGGACGTGTGGTCGCATATGAAATTTACCTTTTCCTTACCACTAACTTTTTTAAGGATCTGTTTGTATGTAAATGAGATCAATGTGTTAGGACTTGTAACACACAGATAATTAATGCTTGTTAGTTGTTACGCCTCCTAACTATACAAAAAGCTATTATTAATACTACAAAGAACATAACCTTCACTAAAAAAAAAACCCGACACACAACTTACTTTCCTCGACGTCCTACTGACCAGAACAGATGATGGTGCACTAAACACACAAGTATACTACAAAACTACCCACACAGACCAAATACTCGATTTTAACAGCAGTCATCCAACACAACACAAAATAAGCTGCATACGAACACTTTTTAACAGAATCAACACCCATTATAACACCGAAGAAGCTAAGAAAACAGAACGCAACTACTTTTACTTCACATTTATAACAAAACAATTGCCCTAGAAAATTTATAAACAAAACTATAAACAGAATACAAAAACAAAACACAAACCAATAAAAGTAACAAAAAACCAGACGAAACAGTAAAAACCACCATATTACCATACATAAACGAAACATCAGAAATGACTGCCAGACTTCTTCGACCATTCAATATTAATGTAGCCCACAAACTTGCACAAAAACTCAAATCATACTTCACTACACATGACAAAACAGCATTCAACTAGGCAACAAATACGTACCAAATAATAAGATCCTTGAGATGTCTCCACTCAAAAAATTATTCAGGTCACTCCATTGAATTACAGGTTTATTTGCACCAATAGTACAGTTGTCGTTGAACCATTGCATTGTACACGATGTGTCACGTGTCACGTCTAGTTGCCATAAATTTAAACAGCTTATTTTACCAACAAATGACATTTTGGGATCAAAAATTGCTTCCTCGCATTCCAGTTTTTGACCAATAGCAACAACGCCACCACCACGTATTAATGGTAATGAATGATTGCCTAAAGTAATGTTCCAAACATTTTTTCCATCAAAGAAAATTTTCTTTCTCGTCTGACCTATTACGATGGCTATATGATGCCAAAGACGATCGTTGATTGGTGGAATATCAAGGTTTCTGTACAACAAAAGACATAACTAAAATAAACTAAAATGATTATTGACAAAACTGAAGAAAATTTTATCAGTGAGAAACAAATAAAAATATTTTCAAATTCCCTAACGTTTCAATAAGTTTGTAAAACCAGGTAAAACATAATTTTTAAAACCCCCAATAAGAGCGCTGTCCTAACGTTATTGCTGACAGGGTTATTTCCGAATTCAAAAAGTGTCAACAACGAATGCGTGCTATTGTACAACTAAAACATGAGACAACAGACTTTTTTCAGTATAAGGAGCAAAACATCTTTTGTAAAATTGAGCAAATATCATGAGTATCTACTATCTAGGTACTAGTTTTTTCCACCCTGTAAAGTTTGACAACAGTTTGAACCTATCTATCAAATGGAACACTTGGATTTAGTTTTATCAAATGAATTATGTATCAAACACAGAAGTTTCGATATAACAATGGTTTATTCTTCAAAACTCGCAATAAACAGTTTCTCTCAACGCAGCAACACGTTATCGGACTTCTTCAGCCCAAAACAAAAAAAATTAACGGGTATGATTCAAATATTTCATCAGAAACTCTTATAAATGAAGCAAAGTGGCTCGAAAGTATTTTGAAAACGAAACTCAATTATGAAGACACAATAAAAGTACGTATTTCGCTGGAGCCCACATGAAGGCGTTCTGCGTATGTTATTGTCAAGCATAGGGTGTACCAAAAACATTGCAATTCGACGTTTTGCTTTCGACGTTTGGAATTTCCATGACGTGGGATTAATTGATCCCAAGAAGACATAAACGCGATTGAAATAAGTTCCGTGCTAGAAATTTGCGACGTACAGTAGCCGCAATCGTTGTATTATTGTTTTCAAGTGTGTTTTTAAAGGTCTTTGAGGACCAGTGACTGCCGAATTGTGCAAATTGTAAACGTCGGCTGATTTCAAAGATGAGCAGGTTTTTTATAAACAACCTGTAGAAGGAGAAGAAATTTGTTGAAATCCAGCTTCATATAATTTTTGAATAACAATTCATAAATTGTTGTGTGTCTATACGACATAACAAGAAACTCCCGAGCAATAAAGTAGTATTTCACATTCTATTATTATTATTAGTTATTACTATTGATTATTCAAATTTGTTGCAATGGTCAAACTAAACATGAATACTTGCGTTTATATTATTTCTTAATTCGGCTTATATTGGGTTAGCGTGAAACTTCAACATTTTGGCGTGAAAAAAGTTATTTTGAAACCTTCGGCGTGGTGTTTACACGGAATGCACCCTGGGTTATCTGCCAAAGCGAATCACGCGAAAGTCGAATTCAATAATTCTTTGATTATATAAATAAAATGTGAAATCTTTCAAATTATTTGTATATAATATACATGAAAAAATTTCTCAATTCTGTTGACTTCAGCGTACGTACATTTCAGCCGGCTAGTTATTAATATCGACCGGCTCGTATATTTCAATTCCGTCGGATATTACTTTTCACAACACCATACCTTCCGCACACGCAGTTATAACAAGGTATCTACTTTTACCAGTGCTGTTATTTTCATCCAGAAACATCTTGCAAACGGCGAACTGTTAACTACTTCGCTAGCGCGCTAAAGAAAATTTACTTAAAACTTACGCCAGCCGTTGTAATTGCTTTGTTTACAATAATTTAACTTTCCCGCTTTTGAAATGTTTTAATTTGATTGGCTCTTACATCATTTCTTTGCTTGACTAACCAATCAGGAGCGCATTTTTCAAAAAGAAATTGCAGTGTATTTCTTTTCTTTGCCCTGTGTTTCACATTTTTCACTGGTATTTACGATAAATTGCACTGCTCTTAACCAATCAGAATTGAGAAATTTTTTCATGTATATTATTAGAAGAGAAATAAGCACTGGTGTTTCGCTTTTTTGAACTGGTATTTAGGAAAAATTGCACTGCTCTTTACCAATCAGAATTGAGAAATTTTTTCATGTATATAATTATGTACAGAAGCCATAAAGCTCTCCGTACTCCGACATAAAATAATTTTGAATTTGAATGAAGATATGATCTTCGCACTTTGCTGGACAATTTAAGCAATTGTCTCACAAACCTGAAAAATTTATGAGACAATTGCTTAAATTGTCCAGCAAAGTGCGAAGATCATATCTTCATTCAATTTCAAAACACCGCACTGCATATAACAATCTTATAAAATAATTTTGCCGTATAAAGTCTCATTAAAAATTTTTTGACTGACAGTTTAACCTTTTCCGTGTTTTTTTTTATTGAGCCATTTTTTTTGCTCAACAATTGAAAAATCTCGAGCAAGATTCCGGCATAGCTACTTTTTGTGTTGTTATGGTTGTCACAATAATATTTACTTCACCTAAAAGTATGTTCAATGTTTTGTAGGTGGAAAAACCAATGGCTCTTATTCAATCACAATAAATATTACAGCTTTATTATATAAAATTTGCAAGATTGCTTTTTCGGCATACAACACCTAACAGAGTATGCACGACTAAATTTGTTTCGCTATAGTCATAAAATACATTCTTATATCCCAGAGAGAAATATACTCACAAGAGCAAATCATTCTTCTTTAAAAGTAAAATAAAAAGAGTCTTGTTAACTTAAAATTATCCTTGTGTATAAAGCACAAAAATGTACGAAAATCTTACACATGGATCTGTAACTAGTTATAAATATGGAATAAAAAGGAGTTTTTCTTACGAAATATCGAACGATTTGATGGTGATGATCATCTGTCCTCTTTTAAATCCAACAAAAAATTCATCAGGACTATTTTTCACAGCATAAGACAGCAATGCCATTCCATGAGTAGTGTTTGTACTTATCCAAAACATCAATGTCATTTCTGATATATCAGATATCACATTATCCATAAGAATTACGTTCTCAACATCAGCTTCGGAGAAGAGCAAACTGTGACTTTTTTTAAGCGCTTTAAAGACGTAAAAGGGAATTTAGTTAAAGTTAAGTTGTTATATTTCCAAATCTGTGTGTAAAAGTAGAGAGCGCAAAAACTTACGTAATTGGAGCTTGCAGCTTTTGTTATACATCTATAGAAACAATACATAGCTACAAGACAGAAAATTACACGAGAAAATGCAAAAGCCTTTCATAGAAATTTTTGTAGCATTTTTAGTGGTAGCGATATTTATAAATTTTTGCCGTCGTATTTTGCGTAATTTGGGGGTGATTTAAGATCGTGACTAAAACACCACACGAGTACATACGAGTACATTCGACTGACATACGAGTATATACGACTGACATACGACTGAAGGTATTAATAATAAAGGTATTTTATTCGCACATTCATTTGTATGTTTCAGTTGCACTGTGCTACGTATATGTGTCATATCATGCGTACGATTTATGATTACTTTTAATGTTTTTAAAGTTTAGCTGATGTAATTCAGTCTTTGAACTGCAAAATCAGTATCTTAAATACTTAAATAAATTATTTATAATTTTAAAAGGGGCTGGATATATGAGCTAATGTGCAATCTGATTGATTCCTTACGAAACTAGAAGTTGCTATCACAAGGCGGGAGTGCTGCCCCGACCACTTGTCTGGAAAAAATTGCACGGTTCAGACCGTTGTCACAGCCATTGAAACCACCTCCGTGTACAGCATTCTAGTTGGTTTCATACATACGTTATGATTGAGTGATTAGAATGGTAGGCAAAGAAATTTTTCATGCGTGTCTCTTTAACTTTTAACTTTGCGTTGGCAAGGTTTATTTCGCCATGTTTAGAGCTCTCTTTCTATCTGAAGGCCGGTTTACACGTTCCAATTTGTGAGATCCGATTGTTTCGGTTCCGTCTTTTGATTGCTTGTTCAGACGGTCAGATAGTTTTGTTGATATTTAGATACGTTTAGATATTAATAATCTTGAGAGCAGCCATTTGTGTTGTCCAGTAATTTACCAATATATTTGCGTACTTTTCTTCTTGTTTCTAAGTCTTTTTCAAATACAAATTATTTGGCTAGTCGGTTTCCTCTGATCTTGTCGGTCCTAGAACCTCTTTTTTAGATTGATGGATCCGACTGTCGGAGACTAACTTTATATGTGCTCACATAATCCGTTTTTAGGATCCAACAAAATCAGATCGAGTGAACGGGCCTTAATCAAACGTGCCATACCTTATTTCGAATACATGCAAATAGAGGCATGCGTTCTGAAAGTCGACGGTTGATTTCCGGCAAAAATAGCTCCCGTGCTTTACATCTTATTTCATTTCACATTTCAAATAATTTTAAAGATAAATTCATTACAATTTCGAAAGAAATCAATTTTTTGATTGCATGTTTATATCTCCAACAAATTTGTCTTTAACATACTTTTTGATTAAAAGTGTGATACTTTGTTTACTCAACCGATCAAGCGAACGCATATTTACAAACGTAGAAACGGACAATATTATAAAACTGTAGTTTTTTTTCCATTATTTCCTTTATAACATTTTGATAGAACCTTATTTCCGATTTCTGTGCGACTGCGATAAAATGATGTATAGTTATCGTAAAGAGCAAACGTTTCATCGTATTCATAATTCATATTTCATGGTTGAACTCACACCATGCGTTTAAGTTATTTTTGACGTTTTGCTAAATCCACACCGATATTTCATAACAGCTTGAACGAAAATTAATTTCATGTTTACACAACATTTTTCTCACCGTGTAACCAAAGAGCGCAAGATAAAAAATGTGAACCGAGCTGGCTAAATACGGCACGGTGAATCATTTCATGTGTTTTTCGCCAAACGAGATATGTATAATTGATGTCGGTGATCACTCGATTTTAGTATCTACTGTATTACGTTGTTTAGGCCGCATATCTATTCGGATTCCAGACATTTAGAATCAAATAGAAACTTACAGAAGTTACGAAAGGTTCTACCTTATTGTGATTGTGCGCTCCCCCTCATTCCGAAAAAATCCGCCCCGGAATTGTTAACAGACAGACAGACACAAATCGAGATTTCACCAATATATAGGTCGCGTGGGGGAATGGGTCGAGTCATGTCAAGAATAGTGTGCTGCCACGCATCGGCGTGGAAGCAACTACCTCATATTTCTTTGGTAGAATAAATAAAATGAATCCAACATTTGAGGAGTAAATCCACATCAATTAATTAAATTACAAGCACAACTAATTGTTATTTTTGTCCAAGATTTTTAACTTATTAATATATTAATATAAGATTACAAATAGTGTACACGTGCGCTAATAGTTCTCAGAATGACTGCTCAATATTTTTTGTACGGGAGTTTACTTTATGGCAACTCCAGCGCAAGACTACCGTTGTTGATGCATTTAAACCGTTTGATACATTAAGACATTGCGCACAACGGACACCAAATTTAACTGAAACATACAAATGAATGTGCGAATAAAATACCTTTTCAGCAGGGGCGGATCTAGGATTTTTCAAACATCAGTCATTAAACGTCCGAGGCGCTCCGCACCTGGGGGGTCTGAGGTATTCTCCCCTGAGAAATTTTGAATTTCTGAGCCTTGAAAATGCTATTTTCAGCGTTTTAGAGCAATACAAAATGTATTTTTTGGGTATCGTTTTAGCGTAAAAACAACACATTTTGCTTACGTTCTTTTCAAAAAAAAATATGAAGTGAACAATACTTGAATGTTTTGCCAAATATTTAGGCTCATTATCATGCCAAATATATGGCTCATTAGCATGTCTAGGAACGTAAAATTTATTTTAAAATAATGCATTCAAAAACAGATATAGTCTTTAAAAATTTCTACCAAGTTGTCAGGCATAGAACCCCCTAGAGACCCCCATTCAAACCTCTATGTAATGAGTTAAGTTAGAAATTTGGTACTACAAGTGACATTTCATAGATATAGAAAAGCTCAGACTTCAAACCATGCAAGTTTATTGTAACCTTTTACCCATCTCTACATCAGTGCCAGCAAGTTCACCTTTTGAGAAAAAACTCAAAATTTTTTTCTGCCAAAGATTAAGCAAAAATTATCAGAGTGAAAATTTGCAGTTAAGGACAGCTTAATGCCATAAATGCTTATTAGGCATTTCACTGGACTATTATCTTCTGCAAGGTGTGCTATATAGCAATCACTAGTAGCATTGTATTTGCAAATACAAACAGAATGTAACCAACATGTCTTTAATTATATAATTACATGTGTCATGCTTACTGGTTATGATAAATATCTTTTCATATGATCAAAGCTCGTTTAAATGTACATCTGAAATAATTTAGTTTAGAAATTATAATGATCATCAGAAAAATTACCTAGTGATCATGAAAAATACTTTGCTGTTTTGCCAAATTTCATAGACTCCTTTATCAGTCGAATCAGTCAAGCCACCCCGCTTATCTGTTGGTTATTCCAGGTCAATTAAAATTCAACTGATCTGGTTACCAACGAGATATTCATTGGATTAGTCATTAGTTTTCAATAATAAATAAAGCTGGATTTTTATCACGAAGTAATTGCGATAATAAAGTAAGAATAATTAATGAGTTTTTTATTCATATGAATAGGTAATTTTTGAATTTCAAACATCAGTCGCGCGACGGATTTGACATACTCTAGATCCGCCCCTGCTTTTCAGCATTTAAATTTATCAAATGGTTACCCCAGAGTCAAGACAAATACAAGCAAAAGTGAATGCAAATATCAATGTATTATTGAAGAAATTGTGCTATTCTACTTTGTCCCTAGTATATAGTCATATGTCAGTCATATGTACTCGCACCAGTCGTATGTATTTGTATGTACTCGTATGTCACACGTATCTACTCGTATGTACTCGCATGTACTCGTGTGGTGTTTTAGTCACGACCGTAATTTAAATCTAATGATTTTTTGAATTACGAAAAATTATTTTTTTAAATTCGTTCTTACCTTGACTGGCGAATTAAAGAAAATATAATCATAAAATCGGTTTTCTTTTAAGTTGCTTGAATTGCTATCGTTGTAGACGCTATGTAACATTTCACAAAGACTCCAACGTCCTTGGCTGATTTTTCTTCTGTGGTTTATGGACAAACAACACGGCTCTTTAAAGCAGTATACGATGCATTCAATTTCATTTTGTACTTTAATTTTCTGAAATTTCTCACCATGCAGTCTCAGACCTAAAGAGAGAAAATGGCATGTCAATGGAATCTTATTTAAAGCTAAAAAAGCCTTTGTGCATAGCAATATATGATGTAGTGCATCGCAAGCCCTACGATGAACTGAGCACAATTTCCTTCAAGTATTATTAAATTAATTCGTCACCTTTGTAAGAAGAGTCGTAGCAAAAATTGAAGCATTTGCTCTGATTGAAAATTCTAAAACACCAAATTATGGTAAATGTTAAATTCAATAGATTTTTAGCACGCAGCATTTTGATGCATTTCTAATCAAAATTTAAGTATTTTAAAAGAGTATCTCGAATTTATCAGATAATTAGTTAAAACTCAGAAATAACCAATCAGCATCCATGTATATTGTCATGCATAAACATTAATGCATGTTTGCAATAAGGTCTTTATTTCCACTTATAGAAGTATAAAATATTGTTTTTGCACAGAGTATATTCTAACGTCAAAAACTTTGATTTTCATTTACTTGATTTTTATACTTATTGAGTTTTATTTAAATTTTGGCAACTTTATGTATGTATATATTTAACACTTTAACAGTAGGAGCAGGTGCACACGCTCTCCAGCAGGTTGTTAACACGCAAAGTCCATTCACAATTTTTATTTATGAGCCAAAATTAGAGCAAATTTTGTCAGCTGTTACTTAAACGCAGCATTACTATCAATAACTACAAAATCTTTTCAATGGGAAAATGTATCGCTGTTGTTTATAAGTACCCACAAGAAAGATTTCCAAATTAAAATACAATAACTATCAATAACTATTAACATGAATGTATTGCTGTAGTTGACGACTATCATTTCCTGTGCAAAACCGCTTATTTGATATCATTAACGTGCTTCATTATTTTCAATAAAAATCTTGATAACTTTACTTACAGACGTGATGAAGGAAAGTTCGTAGA